TTGTGAGGTGTGCTGAATTCTTTTCCCACTCGTTTATTATGTTCGTACTCTTTCAGAATGCGTTTCAGAGTACTTATGGACACACCAGTAGCCTCAGAAACACGATTTTGTATTTGATTAACGTTAATCACTTTGCCGCTGTCAGCTTCTTTCTTCATAAAACTGTAAACACTTGTCAACATTTCTCTACTTTGGCTGCGTAAATCTTTACGTCCCATTTTCTTTACACCTCTGCCCTCGCCTTGCATTCTGTTCGTGCTGAGTAGGAACAATAACAGTGGAAATGAAAAGCCTAATTATAAATGGGTCAATGTTATTGAAATGGAACTCAACACACGGAGTGAACTCGGTCGCAGCTCGCTCGTAACTGAGCTCCGCTTACCCCAAAAACTGTTCAAGCTGCAAATACAGTACTCAATAACTACTGACTACTTCTCATTAATTCTTTTGTGATTATTTACCCTTGCGTTCAGATAAAGTATGTATATTTATATAAGTGCCGTTCAGGAGCAGAAATATTTGCCCTTCGAGCATCGATTAGTTCCCTAATCATGTTATGGCTCAAATGAAAATGTTGTGAGGACAAAATTCGGCCCGCGGGCCTAAAGTTCCCGACCTCAGGTAGTCTCGGTGTTAATGTACATATTTCCTGCTTGCTTACAGCTGTTGTGAAGAACTGGGTGCCTACCGGGAATTGGTTTCCTAATTGTCATCTTCGTAACGAAGCTGATAGATTGACCTATGGAAAGTAAGTAACACATTCAGAGTTTAAAAATGTAATATTACTTGCCCATGTTATAAATATTTGTCTTCCTATTTCGTTAAAAAAATTGTAAAGACCTATTTTATCTTATGTACAAACATTTTGAAACATGTAAAAAATGTGAGAGTTATTCAACTTTTAAATTACTTCGATTCTGTAAACTATATATATATATATATATATACGCATCGTCCTCATTTGCCACATGCGTACCAATGGGAAACGTATGCAACCCACAGTACCTAAAAATCAATTTTTAGATCGATTTTAGTATTTTCCTACTTGTATGAGAAAATAAATTACATTGCTTTGGTGCGAAATCCATGGTCTATGAACGCCCCATGATTGGCCAGACTTTACAATGTGGCCCGCAGTCTTATTTAACTTAAAGTTACTGAGATGAATCGACTGAATGAAACGTACAACTTATCGAGATGCTAACAGTACTTTTGGACTTCTCATTGACCTGCAATTTGTTTTCTTAACATCGATTACCACAGGCAATAGTTACAAAGTAGCTGCTTAATAAAATACAAAGTTATAAATATATAAATAAACTTCGCCCGTAGTCCCTCTTCCTCCCCCCCCCACACCATTTTAAAATGTCCGACATCTTTGATGGCAAACAAACACAGACGTAGCCTTCAATTAGAACAACTAAATTCTTTGAAGACTAAAGTAAAGTAAAGTTTGTCCCACTATACGCCATGTAGGCGCTTGGGGGGAGTAGAGGTATAGCTCCTACTCATTCTTGACCTCGGCACTAGATGGGGGTGAGTGGTCAGCATCACGCCCCGGCCGGCTTTACCCCCGGGGTCTGGATGCAGAGGCTACTAGTTCATATATATATTCTCTCCTTTGTATTCAATGTTCCTGCTTTAGTATAAGAATCGATTAAGTGTAAGTCTGTTTAATAATCTTCTATGGCTCTCCGGTCCGTATTCGGTCCATGGCCTCCTCAATTCTAATCTTCCATTCGTTCCTTCTGTTAGGTCCGTCTGTCCGAGGTTCAGGTTTCGAAACATCTTCCTTTTTACAGTGCAAGTTTTTTAGCTTTGGAGGACAAGGGTACCTGTCTTAGTCTGACCTCTCCGCTCGACCAATCTGGCTAAGGAGGCCCTACCAGTAGCTCTAGGGGTCACTGATGTACTCAAGCCCCACCACCACGACAAGGTGCGTGTACCATTAAGTGGGGCTGTTTAATAATCAGTAAACTTAAATGCAGTTAGGTACAAATATGCCACGGATTCCAGTTTCTTCTATAATACATGCCCATTTTATTCTTGTGGTTTCACGATTTCTTACTAAAAATGTACACAAAATTCCAGGTTAGGTTAGGTTGATATATAAACTCACGTTCAAAAGTAGGCCGATGCTTAATAGTTTAAAATAACCACTTAATATATCTTAATTTTCATGCAATTATTTGAGAGGTCCTTACTACAATCCAGGTCATGTTTTTATATTATAACATATTAGAACAAGAACCCAAAATATTAAAATAAATAAGACAAAATAGCTATACATAATGGCTG